CTCAGGGCGGCCCGGGTTAAAAACAAATTCAGAATGGGCGAGCATGGGCCCAAGCGCCAAGCCTCAGATCTCCGACAGTCTGCTTCTTCATCACACAAAAGAAGGTGCTCCAAGCAATTTCGAACTCTGGGGCCCAAGTTCGGGCCCAGCGACCATCACGAATGGATCTGGGGCGAAAAACTTGCCCCAAGGAAAAGGTTCGAACCTATGGGGCCGCGCATTGATCAAGTCATACCATCGGATGTCTGGGCCCACAGAAGGAAAGTCGAAGGGGCTGATGCGACAGCATCAACATCCATCAACGAGCAGATGCTGCGCGTGGTCCGCGACCGACTCTGCCTAGTGCTTCCGCGAGGACTGCGAGGAAATGAGAGAGCGCCTTCTGTGGACGCTGGGAAGGTAAAGGGGTTTGAACCGTCCCCCTCGAATTGCACAGCGGGGGGGGTTCGAAGCGGGGAGGCCACAACCTGAATTGCAAAGGGGGGGGGTCGTACTGGGGGAGGGCCTCCCTTTCTCTCTCAAGGGGGGGGGGTTCAACGGCCCCCACCCCCATTGAATTGCCAGGGGTGGGGCTCGAACTGGGGAAGCCCCCCCCTGCAACTGATGACGGCAAGCGCTGGCACCGGCGCCGACGCCGTCGGGCAGCAACGACGACGACGACGAGGATAACTCGCTCGCTCGCTCGCACGCTTGCTCGAGCGGGAGAGCGAGTGAGCGAGCAAGCGGGCAACATGCACTTAATGTCCCGCCCGCCCGACCCGACCCGCCCGACTCGCTCGCTCGCTCGCTTCAACTAGCGAGCGAACGTGCAAGCGAGCACCGTGCATTTAGTATCCTGCCCGCCCGACCCGACCCGCCCGGCTTTGTTGCCCGCTTGCTTGAGCAAGCGAACGAGCGAGAGGACCGACTCCCCCCACCCTCGCTCGCTCGCATGTTTGCTCCAGCTGGAGAGCGAGCGAGCAAGCCAGCACCATGCATTTAATGACTAGCTGCATCGAGCCCCAGTAGGATTCAATAAAAGCTGGATCCAACTATAACTACACATAACTCGAGCTGGATCCAAACGTAATGTGATTCAAGTAAAATAGGATCGAGCCTGAGTAGGGTTCATTTAGCTGGAGGAGGGGAATCCCCCCCCGTTCGCACCCCCGCGCCTTGCACAGAGGGGGGTGGGATCCCCCGCGGTTCGACCCCCCCCCCCGTCTTGCAACTCAAGGGAGAAGGGGGGCGGGGGCGCCCGCGGGGGGGGGGAAGGGGGGGGCGGTTCGAACCACCAACCCCCTCCTTGGACACGGGGGGGGGGGCGGTTCGAACCCCTCCCCCCCGCTGGGAGGTAGAGGCCACCCCCTCCTGGTAGAGGCCGGAGTGCAGAGGAGGGCCGCCCCCCCACGGCCCGCCAAGGGCAGTCCATGTTTTTGTTTCGCCCACCCCCCTCCCCCTGGTTCCACCCCCTGGTTCCCATGTGTTAAATAACAGATTTTTCTGCCCGGCAAGCGTCCACGAAACGCGTTCTCTTGATACAAGTACACTCCCACTCCCCCTTGTACCTCTCCTGTGTTGGGTTCCGCAGGAGCTCGCTCGGCCTGCGACCTCACGCAGCGCCAGCGGGGGGGCAGAGCACCATGTCTTGGCGGTGCACGCTGCTCCTCGCAAGAGCGAGCGTGATCTGCTAGTCGAAGCCACCCAGCCCGCGAGCCGTCGGCCTCTGTGGCCCACAGAGCCAGCCCGACGTCTTGGAAACGCCAGGCTGTTATGTTCGCTCGTCTCGCCACACGCGCTTGGACCTAGGCGACATGCCGCCACCGCATGATGAGGTTGTGCCTTTCAGATCTTCGTGGCCTCCCCTCTTCCTACGACTACTGCTGCTGCTTCAGCTGCTACTGCTGCCGCTACCACCACCAGCGAACCCACACACACACATACCACACACCATAATTTCTACCTCTGGTAAGGGAACCTTTTTACGGGCCGTGTTATTTACCGATCGTGCGGGAACTGCGACTGGACACGGCCGTCATAACAACCGCTACCACAGCCACAAAGCATGGTCAAGCTGCTACAACAGAGAATATGAAGTTACTGCTCACTGCTCTTGCAATAACTTTCCCAGCTGCTTCCATCACACAAGCCAGCGACCAGTGTTCTTCTGCCAGCGATGCCGCAATCACTCGCGCACGAGCGCCCGCGCACAGAATATTAGCCCTCAGGCACCTTCAAACATCTTCAAACAAAGAAAGAGCGCAGTCGGCCTCGTCGAGCTTTGCCGGTGGGGCACGACCACCCGTCGACGATCCTGCAGATCGCCAGGCACTGACCGCCAGATGCTGTAGAAGGCGGCCAAGGGTACAATCGGACCTAGGCCAGACGAACACCCCTCAAGAACATGAGACCCTCCGCCGGCCAAAACAAACAGAACAAGATCCCCTCCCCAGGCTGCACAAAAACGTCCGACACACACACACACACGTGTACACACACACACACACGAAGAACACTAGGGTACCCTCCCCGAAACGACCTCGACCTTATTATATGAGAAGAACAAAAGACGGCATCTAGACAACATTTTGGCGCTCCGCGCGGATTTCTTGCACCTGAGCTGGAGCCCCCTACCTGGCGCGCGGAGCGCGCCAGGGGCGGCACCAGAGGCGCTGCAAGGACGTTCCAGCGAAGGACAATAAAATCCGCGCGGAGCGCCAAATCCGCCGGCCCCCTTGTGGTGCCACCAGGCTGCAGGCCGAAGCTTCGCACTTTCCTGTGCCAGTTGCAGCTTCCAGTTTCCACTGTTACAATTATGCTTCTTGCTGCTTGCTGTTCCTTGTTGACTTTTTGCTGCTTACTGTTCCTTATTGATGGACCGCGCGAGGCGGGAGGCCCCAAACGGACATTTTTCCCACGCCCTGAGCGTGTTGTCTGAATTGCTGAGGTGGGTAAAAATTGACACCCCTCACGCAGATCGGCGGGGTCAGGGTCCAAAGACACAGGGGATTAGCCACATGTTTGAAATTCGGTGGTACCCCTCACGCAGATCGGCGGGGTCAGGGTCCAAATGCACAAGGGATTTGCCACATTTCTGAAATGTGTTGGCACCCCTCAAGCAGATCGGCGGGGTCAGGGTCCAATTAGCCCAGCGAAGGACCCAACCATACGCAGTTGTGCATACCGCAATTGTGAATAACTATGGGGTCACGAACCGTATGAGGGGTGTGCCGAATTGTGTGATAAGGTACACAACACGAACGAAAACGATAGGCCCGAGTATGAAAGCTTGAGCGCGGGCGAGCCTAAGCGCGAGTGGGTCTGGTTCTGAATGTATATGCGTGCGAAGGATTCTACTTGCATGATTGCGAGCATGGAGTCGCCTAGTGTAAATGCATACGACTGTGACTTGTCTGGGTCTGCCTGACTCTGAGAACTCGTGACATTGAGCGTAACCTCCGCAAGGTGTTTTCCTGGGAACCCCGACGGCAGCGCCCGCGCGCCGCGACGCCCGTGTCGGCACGCCCCACACGAAGATCACGCCCCTCCCCTTCTTTTCTTTCCTCTTTGCCCGGGCATTCCAAAATTCAAGGCTGCGGGCGCCGCGCTACGCGGAGCCCCCGCGACGCGCGCAGGTCGGACGTCGATGACGGACGACGACGACAAAGAAATCGGCCCTAGGGAAGCTGTCGGGACCACCAGCTCCCTATGGGGCCACGAAACGTGTGATGGGTGTGCCGACATGGGTGTGCGGGACGCATGCGGCCGGCAGCACTGGGGCCTTCGGTGGAGCTCCCTATGGGGCCACGAAGCGTGTGAGGGGTGTGCCGGATTGGGTGTGCGGGGCGCATGCGGCTTGCAGCACTCGGGCCGTTTTTTTTGTGTGTTTGTTCTCATATATATATATATATATATATATATATATATATATATAGATAGGTGTGGCCAAGCTCGCGCGGCGCGAGCTCAGGTTCAAGTCGCTGCCAAGGGGCAGCTGTCAGGCGGCAGGCGAAAGCCGCGGGAAGCCGAGCAGCCAAGGTGCGAGCTAGCCAAAAGGGCCAGCCCGCCGCTGCCGAGCCTGACCCGTCAGCCTGCCTTCGCCATCGGGCGCGCCAGCTTCGGCGGCAGCCCCCGCCTGATATTCGCAACCTTCTCGAGGCGGTGCTGCAGGCCTCGAGCGGTCACGGGCAGCATGCACTCGGCGGACAAGCCCCTGTGCTTGCCGCCTATCACACGGGCATAGCAGTGGCAGCGCGTGCAAACTCGATACCCACTAACAGTGCACAGTGCGTGCCCGCCGCCGTCAACCCTTGGAACCCCTGTGCCTGCAGACGCAGAGGCCGAGGCTGCGAGGGGCCCAGAGGGTCCAGGCGGGTCAGCAGAAGCAGGCTGGCCGCTGCTGTGCCGCGCCCTGACCGCGGGCTCGGCAGAAGGCGTGGGAGCGGCCTCAGCCTCAGGCGACGCGGCAACCGAAGGACAAGCGGCATCGCCAACGGTGGGTGCCCCGCCAGCTCGGTCGGCCTCACTCACGGCCCCGCTCGCACAGGAACCAGACGCTGCAGCCAGCAGGTAATCGACCTTCCCCTGGAACGTCCTGAGAACCTTGACCCTGGGCTCCTCGCTGCAGCCGATGGAGCCTCGGATCTCTTCCGCAGAGCTGCGGGCTCTGGACCTGCGCCCCCTTGGGAGCAGCGGCGCGTCCTGCGCGCCAGCCTCGCGCGCCGCCAGCGCTGCAAAGGCTGCGGCTGCTGTGGTCGCCGTAGGCGATGTAGCTCGAGCAGGCCTATGCTCGCCGTGCCGCCAGAGCGAAGGGGTGCGTGCGGCCTGGCCACGCGCGGCTTGGCCCAGAAGTGGGCTTGATGTTGGCGCTGTAGGCGGTCTTCAGGCAACGCAGACAGTGGATGCCGCCGTTGGGGACCTCGACGACCTCATGGCCCGTGAGGTGGAGAAGGATCTTGCCATCCCGCCTGGCCGCCGCCTCGCCGGATACATCCGCACGGGCATCTGCAGCCTGGCCCCCA